TTTTGTCCACTTTTCTTTTTCTCCTTTCTACATTATTAACATTAACTTTGCTTTAGGCACAGCTGCATCATCACGCTTTGCTTGCTATGATCACGTTATTAGTTATCATTTTTTCTCAGGTGTACACGTCGACTGTGGCAAATTTGCAAAATACAAATATTTTTACTTATAACCAACGTCAATGATTAACAGGACTCGGTTTTGTGAGTTTTTTCGCACGCAGTTATTCATGAGGAAGTCCTAAACACTTGTGACTCTCTGGGAATCTCTTTTTCCAATTGCTTCAACTTTCCTTGATCTTTCACGCTCTCAGTGAAAGCAGTAAATAGGCACTGAGCCTCGACTCAGCTGTAAGCTTTCAGCCACGATATGTTGATTTTAGGTTTGAGAAAGGCACGCACATTATAAAAGAGGCTAAAAAGGGGTTTCAAAGCCTCTTTTTATCTGAAGGTCCAAAAAAATCAAGCCCCCTCCTTGGTTGCCTCTGTTTTACTTTTGGTTTTATACTGTTAATTCCATTCGCGGAGTACTTGGCGCACGTCAGGAGGTGATTGTAAGTACCTAAAGAAATGCAGCGTGCCATACGACACCCTTCTTGTCAGTGGCTTTCATGATTTATTTCCTTGTTGCTGGAATAAGCCCATTACTCATCGACACACGCTAATCTCTCGTAAATACAATCAACCATAACACGCAATCCTCCAGAACAAGGACCTAATAGCCTTCATCCACTGTCCAGCACTCCGTTCTACAAATAAGCCTTCTACCTGTGTCAGAGAATTCTGCAGACATGGAGTCAAGACCGCCTCACCTCCTCCAAAACCAAACTCGACGATTTCGGGGTCATGAAGGATGCCTTGTCGAGTTAAATGATTTTGTGTGACAGAGACGGAATTGAAATCGAGATTATTGTGCGTACAGGCCTTTATTTAGCAAAAAACATATAACTAATCCTCCTCTCGACTCCAAACGGGGTTAAAATGCGTCACCGCGCCAACAGATCTATTAAACTTCCTGGCCAAAGCCACTAATGCCATTTTTGAGGCCTTTCGAGTGAGAGGATTCATGGCGGCGAGAGTCATCTTCTCCATCAATAAGACGGGATAAAGAGGATCTACACGAAGGTACATCGCATTCCAGTGCTTGATTGCATAGTACACGAACAGTGGCCACCGTTTTTGCATTAGTGAATTGGTACACATTGCACCTCTCTCCATGATGCAATTGAGAATGCTGAACGAAGGACAGCCTTCCAGCATGTAGCCAAGAAGGAGGAAGTAGGTCATGAAGGTTTCAGGAAACATGTCAATAGCCTTCAAGACATTCAAAGTCACATCATAGGGAATGTCGTAAGGTAGGAGGTGTCGAATATCCTCCACCAAACTGTTTATGCTGAATATGTAGGCCAGAGTGTAACAGGTCTCTTCTCGAACACACTTTGAGGGGGAGAATAGACCTGCAATCAGCGGATCCAACCAACTACGCACCTGACTCCATAAACATTGTCGCAGTCGTCGATTGTTGATTGAAGTGGCTAACACAATCAACAACTCCATGCGACTTGTTTCTCCAAATCCGAGATTGGATTTGGTTAGCTCCTCTCCTATCAGGACACACAGTCTTGTAATCTCCTTGCAAGTCTGCAGCTGAAGCAGCGTCGGATCGGCCCTCGCGGAGTCCAACCAATTTGTGAAGACATGCAATTCAGCAAAATCGCATTCATAAAAGTGATTGGCAATCTCATTCAACACAGACTTGGAGTTGTCAGTTGTCAGAAGTCGAAAATGGCGATCGCGGTCAATCTCACTGTCCATCGTCGTCCAAGATGTGGCCTTCAAGAACTCCAAAAAATTCACCTTCCGTAAGTACTTGAATTCAGGTGGGAGATTTCTAAAGTTTCTACGATGATACAATCGGTTGAGAACGTGGTCTCGAAGAATGGTGGCTGTGTACAACTCACGCATCCCCTCAATGTCAACACCAAGCAACGGCATATGACAGTCATAATCTTTCAGTTTCGATGCTAAAATCACTTCACCTGGAAGGGCATCTTTAAAATCATCAACTTGTGGTTTCAACTGGTATCTGGGACTAAAACGATTCAAATCAATGCGAACAGTTTTTCTGAAACTTGTTTTGGTAGATTTGGAGCGTGATGTGAGGCGTTTTGCTGCTGAGAAGGATGAAACAGCGCCACTTTCGTTGTGAGGCCGATCACTTTTTGGTAAGGAGACACTGGAGAGCCTTTGATATGGTCTTGGACCTCCCTCTGATACCCTGTGCTGTAAATTAAGATGTTCTTGTAGCCCACTCAGTACTGCAGAAATGTGTGATTTGAGGCGGCGTAAACCGATTCGTCGACCCAAGTTGTCGATTCGAACTTTGCTTTTCCCCTCGAGGTGATCAAGCGGACCGTTTTTGATGAAATTTGTCACGGCCTCAAACGAAGCTCTACTCATTCGAGAGGTCCCATTTTGACCCCG